TGGTATGACAAAGAATGACCTAATTTCCAATTTGGGCACAATAGCAAAATCAGGAACAACTCAATTCATCGAGGCAATCAAAGGTGGAAATGTAAATTTGATTGGTCAATTTGGTGTTGGTTTCTATTCATGCTTCTTGGCAGGACAGAAGGTTACTGTTGCATCAAAGAACTCAGATGATGATTAATACATTTGGGAATCTCAAGCAGCTCATTCATTTGCTGTATCTAAAGATCCAAGAGGAAACACTTTGGGTCGTGGTACTTAAGTCACTATTCATTTGAAATAAGATGCAGTAGAATTTGCTGAAGAATCTACAATTAGAGAGTTGATCAAAAAGTATTCTGAATTTATCAATTTCCCAATTTACTTGAAGGTGACAAGAGAAGTTTCAAAGTAAGTAGAGGAGGAATCAGAATAATAATAGGATCAATAAGATCAATAGGATTAGACAGATGATGATGAAGTCAAAGTTAAAGATGATGATGATGATGATGCAGATACAAAGAAGAAGGCTACTAAAACAATAAAAGAGAAGGTGTCTGAGTGGGTGTAAGTGAATGAAAATAAAGCTATTTGGTTGAGACCAAAGGAAGAGATATCAGATGATGATTATAAGAAATTCTATAAAGTCTTGTCTAAGAATTCAGGTGAAGATCCATTCAACTGGGTTCATTTCAAAGCAGAAGGTGAAGTTGAATTCACATCTCTTATTTATGTTCCAAAGAGAGCACCCAGTGATATGTTCGATAATTATTATGGAAAATAAACTACAAACTTGAAATTGTATGTCAGAAGAGTTTTGATCAGTGAAGAATTCGAAGATATTCTTCCAAGATATTTAAGTTTTGTTAAAGGTGTGATTGATTCTGATGAATTACCCTTAAATGTCAATAGAGAAACACTTCAATAACTTAAGATGTTGAAGGTCATCAGTAGAAAGATTGTTAAGAAGATCTTGGAATTATTCTAAGATGCTGCCTCCTATGATGATGAAGATGAGGAAGATACTGAAGAAGGTGAAGAGGATGATAACATGGCTGAAACTACTCCAGAAGAATAATAAAGATTGAAGGATGAGAAGAGAAAGAAGAAGATCGATGAGTACAATGAATTCTGGAAGGAATATGGAAAGAATATCAAGTTGGGTGTCATTGAAGATTCATCAAACAGATAGAAATTGGCTGAATTAACAAGGTATCATTATTATTATTACTATTATATGAAATATGTTATGCAATGATGACAAATTAATATGGATAATAAATGGATTAATTTCTATTTATTAAGTGATCATATAAACAGTCGTCTGATCTAACATAACATACTTCTAATCCAACATTATCCATATATTAAATATTATACCTAATATTTTATTTTAGGTGGTATTCAAGCAAGAATGCAACTGAATTAACTTCATTCGATGACTATATTGAAAGATCAAAACCAGGATAAGACTCTATCTATTATTTGGCAGGTGAAAATAAGGAATAATTGTTGTCATCTCCAATCATTCAAGGCTTAATCAAAAAAGGATATGAAGTCTTATTGTTGGAAGATCCAGTCGATGAATTCACATTCTAACACTTGAATGAATATAAACAAAAGAAACTCACTAATGTTGGCAAAGGTGACTTCAAATAACCAGAAGATAATGATGAACAAAGAAAGAAATAGAAGGCTTTGAAGAAAGTATTCTAACCCTTGACTGACTGGTGGAGAAAGTTATTATCAGAAAACGTTGATTCAGTCGTCATTTCATAAAGATTGATTGAAGATCCCATCATTGTGGTTTCCTCAGAATCTGGATATTCAGCTAATATGGAAAGAATATCAAAGGCTTAGGCTTATTCAAGCAAGGGAAGCAATTCTTAGCAATTTGGTAAGAAGATCGTTGAAATCAATCCAAATCATTAAGCCATATAAGAATTGTTATAGAGAGTCAAGGATGATCCTGATTAGGAAACCGAAGAAATGGCTAAAGTTCTCTATGAGGCTGCTTTAGTTAATTCAGGTACTCTATATAATTGATTGTAATTATAGGATATTCGATCCCAAATCCAGAAAAGTTTGCTAGTAGATTCTATAAATTGTTTAATTCTGCCTTGGGTATCGACAGGGATGCACCAATTAAAGATTTTGAAGTTGAAATTGAAGAAGAACCTGAGACTTCATCTGAACCCACAGTTGATTAGGATGGAACCAAATGGGAAAAAGTGAATACAGATGATGCAAAATGGGAAACTGTAAGTAATGATAAAAGAGATGATTTATGATTCCTTTATACATTTTGTATTGTTAATTTTTACCTTGTTTATTTGCATTTCAATTTAATCTGGAGGATGGATAATATTCTCTTAGAATATTTTTATAATTCCAATTTATTTAATTATTAACAGTAATAAATAAATTTTTGAAATACAAATGAACTCCAACTCTGACTAGTAATCATGATTTCTATTTCCTTAGTCATTTTCTTTTCAAAGTATTACTCATAGGAAATTCTGGTGTAGGCAAGTCGTGTATGCTTATGAGATATTCTGTATTACATATTCATTAATCTAAAAAGGAAAATCAATTCACCAATAATTTCTACAACACCATTGGAGTGGATTTTAAAACTAAAACTGTCGCCATAGGAGAACATAATGTTAAATTGCAAATTGTAATATATATGTGATAATATTAAAATAGTGGGATACTGCTGGCTAAGATCGATTTAGAACTATAACTTGTAGTTATTATAGAGGTGCCCAAGGTATTATAATCGTTTATGACATCACTGACAGGGAATCCTTTGAAAATGTGAAAACTTGGATTGCAGAAATTGATAAGTATTCTATACAATCAATATAAGGTATGCATCTGAATCAGTGAACAGAATGCTAGTAGGAAATAAGGCTGATATTACAGAAAGGAGAGAAGTCTCTTATGAAGAGGGTTTAGAATTATGTAATTTAGATTTATATTATCTAGCAAGACAATTTTAAATTCCATTCTATGAAACAAGTGCCAAATCTTCAATAAATATTGAGGCTGCTTTTACTCACATAACCAAAAATATTTTGAACCGTGAAATTCATAACACCAAAGCAGTAGTTAGAAAAACATCGAATATGAGATTATAAACCAGATAATAGCAATAATAGTAATAGGAAAAGAAGAAGCAAGAAGATTTATGTTGTTGATAATAACCTATTATTTTAATAAGCAATACTTAGTTTAGGATTATAATGATTTATTTCTAAACATTTGATTTATTTATTGTTGTTTCCTATCGTTTATTCAAGTTGAAATAAATGATTTAAGTAATTAATCACTATGCCAAGAATAATATGAAATTTATTATAATAATTACTTTTTAAGTTCATATAAAATATGGATGATTTTGCACCTCTAAGTCAGAAACCTAATTGTTATCATTTTAATCAACATTATCTTTTGCCTCTTCAATATATAACTTATCATTTTATATATCGACGTTAATGATTCCTTTTTAATGTTATTCCTAATAATTACGGCGGTAAAATAAAGATATTTTGATTCATTCTTAATAATCAATATCATCTATTGGATTTTATTGTCTTATATTATTTAGATTATGAGTAAGAACAAAAAGTAAAAGAAAACACACAACTAAAACAAAGTAAGTGTAAATACTTATTATGGATATAGAAGCACAATTAAAATTTTCAATATAGAATTATAGTAAAATATTTAATACCCCTGCAAATAAAAGAAATAATTCATGTGAAATAATTAAAAAACTTATTTCAATAGACTCAAAGAAGAAGAATATGAGGGATCTAATTGATTTGGATAAAATCTAATTTTGAAGATTTTAATTTACAATTAAGACTTAAATACTATAATTTAGTAGTAAGTTCATTGTAATTTGAGGTTATATTAGAATCTTTGCCAATTTTAGTGAGAGAGTGATGAAATCAATTTCAACTAAATAATTAGTTTATATGAATTAAATTCTTTAAAAATATTTTAGTATTTTCTGTAATCACTACCCCGTTTTTGAGTTGGCCTTTGATTCGACAGTTTTAAGCATTGTTTATAATTCCTCACTATTATATCGAATATAGAGGGAAATTTTGGGATTAGCGCAGGCACAAATACTCTGGTGAGCAATGCATCCCTTTTTTAAACACCTATAATGATCAAGTAAAGATTTACTTTCCACAGAAAATATAACTAAAGAACATATAATTGGAACAGATTTTGCAGACATTGCGATCATACTTTTCTAATTTGTTTGCGAACTCTACAGTCTTAACCCTATTCGTAGAGAACTAGGATGCTGTTTCGATTGGCAATTTCAGATTGAACCATCACTTTAAATTTGTCGAATATCTTAATATTAGCATAACAAGCATACCTTAATCCATGATTGTTTAGTAAATTTGACTTGATCTGCCATAAGAACAACTTTGGTTAGTAGCCACTCCAATGGAAAACTAACCTACACAGAATGAGAAGGGATGGATTACCTTTTTAAGGTTGCCATCCATACGATACTCAGTTGAAGCACGTTCATATTCATCAAGCCATTGTGTAGGAGCAACGTTGACAGCCTCGCTGCAATTGAATCCTATAATTTATATTTAATAAAATACCATGTGAGAATCCTGCATGATAGGTAGCACCCAGAGTGATAATAAGTTCACCAGGGTGCTGTTCTGTCCTGAGGATTGTAATTTATTGTTCGGCCAACTCGATAGGCGAAATCTGACACACGATGTCGTACAAGAGACGAGGGTTATGTATTCTTTCTTTCTCATACTTCTTATTGAAATATTGTAAAAACTTTTCACTGTGAGAGGGAGGTATCGCATACCTTATGTTAGATAGGACATTCATACCATGTTTTGGGAGCACCGGCATGCATGTAGTTCATGGAATTTAAATTCAAGTCCTCCTTATGCCAACAGAAGTTAGCATACTTCATTCCCAAGTACAACCAAGGCACTGAAATTCCACTCATCTCACTCTTCTCTTGGAGAACCTGAAAGATAGAATTGCAATTCTTGTTTATGTTACTCAGATTTCCCAACTAGCCATCTTGGTAGCCAGTGGCGTACTTAGTTGCCAACAAATCAGCAGCATACTCCACTTCTACTTCACTATACCTGTCTGGAAAGTCGACTATTGACCAGAATTCTATCTCATTCTATCTGATTTGATTTGAAACTTCCCTTACTCCCTATAACTTGTGACTACTTTCAAACTTGTTGGCGTAACTCATATACTCTTGCAAGGTGTATCCTACAGTATTTGAGCCAAATATCTATGCTATGCTTAAACAAATACCTCCCCGGCCTGTTATTAATTTAAAGTCTTACACTCGTGTCTCCACTCTCTTCCCTTTCAACTTCTGCTCCAAGTCACTAAAGAATTTTTTTTCTGGAACTATTAACTCAGAAGGCAAAAGCAATTTCACTATTCCGAATTTCTCATACCCTTTGGCATAAAGATCATCTATTGTCTTAAAGGGATCCTAAAAGAAGTCTTAGTTAACGTGCAACGTCGGAACTTCCCTGAATTATAGATCTTTTATAGAATATGGGAAACGTTCCAGTAATAGTTTTGCGTGAGGCTCAGTAATATCGTCAGAATTTTTAAACTTTCTAGAATGCTTTTTCTATTTCAATGATCGAATCATCATGCTTATGGAAGCTTATTTTATATAATAATTTTATCTAACCTTTAACACGTTCTGCTTTAATGATGATTTTTTAAAAGATACTTCTGTTTTAAATCCCCAATAAATATATATTTCATAATTAATAACATACCCGTGCATGTGAAAACCGATGAATTCTATTAGGAAACATATAAAATTATATAATTCATTCAGAAACTAATTTCAGTCATTCTTTATGATTTCCAAGTCTGCTCTTTAGTTAGTTCTTCAAGGAAATTGGTCTCCCTCCCATAATCCTCCTTAATCTTTCACAAATTATCCTGGTTATTTTTGTATTATCACTATAAGACTTCTAGCACTCTCCCTTCCTCAATCCAATGGAACCAATACTTTCAACTTTGTTCACAAAATTATGATCTATTCAATTAGTCTTCTTTAAAATCCTCATAATCTTTGTAGTACTCTATTCAACAAGATCACCTCTGTTATCTTAAAATTCAAAATACAGTGTATTCAATCCAGTAATCCTAACTAGACTCGTTTTGTAAATATTACTCTTCCTGGTGATATATCAAAGTCATCTGAATACACAAAAATTAAATACTCTTTCTCATCATAATCAAAGACTTAATACTGTAGTAGCATCAAAACAAAGGTGAACAATTTCTGCTACACTAAATCCTGATTCAAAGCAACCAACCTTTTGCATATCTTTCAATATTTACTGATGGATCTAATTATATGATGTCAATTGAATCATAATATTATATTTCTGCATTCAATATTTGGAGATGTGAAAATAAATTGATCTTTCAAATCAACCAGGTCTAGTGGTAAGATTGATAAAGTAATTCACTTGTCTTTTTAGCAGTCAAAACAACAAAATTTGTATCAAATACAAATCCACCCATTTCTACTAATGATTAATTCTATGTCTTATCTGTTTTATCATTATTCTGAATTTTAGAATCTCTTTTTCCTCTACTTAGAGATTTACCTAAATTCTCGATATTTATGTCGACCTTTACTTGTACCTACTCCAACAGATGAATTTTTTAACTAAAATCTGAATCACTTATGAATCAATACTCATTATTATATTACTGGAAATAAATCAAGAGGAAGTGAAGATTTGACATATTTTAATTCATATTCGAATAAATTAGAGATCATGAAATTCTAAATGTATTAATATTTCATTAATTTAGGTCGCAATTAATAACTTATTT